TTGAAAAGATGTTGGTGTTGCCATCAAATTGTAATAATATTATGGTCTACTTATGCAATTCTTAGATCAAATTTCAAAAATCCAATTATTACACTTCACAACAAAGTTAATTATTTTAGTATTATTAAATATCTAATTTTGAATCATATTGTTTAAAAAAAGATGAAAATTATAACAATACAAAATCTAAAAGTAGTGTTTCAATAAATTTGACTTGTAATCATAAAATTAGATAGTTTTGAAATTGAAGTTCAATCACTAGTTGTACTTGATTAATGAATCCTTGAAATTTTAATCTTCTGCCATGAAAATTTTTATGCAAAGAAATTCTTGGTTCTTTAATATTTGAACAAGGTCCACCATATGAAGAGTAACATGATTTGGTGCAAATATTGAAGCAGCTCCAATCATTTCTATATCTTTACTTCTTATCAATTGTGTTGCTTTTTGTGGTGGTAAATTGAATTGACACATTACAGTCATTAACTCCTTTAATTGTTCTCAAATTTGTACCATTTTACTCTTTATTTCAATAAGCTTTGTTATGATAATACAAAAAAAAAAAAGATATTTAATATCATTCAAAATAAACAGAAGAGAGGAATTGAGAACAAAAAAAATATTAAGAATAATATCAATTTAAAAGAAGGTAATTTGTAACTTCTAATATGCTTCTATCTTATCAAGAAAAAGAGATAATCCACTCTTAATCAAGAAAAGATAAGATTTTTATGTTATAAGTGGACTCTTGTCAATTTGTCAAGGATAAGAACTTGTTGAAGGTAAATAAATAAATAAGATATTTCTTAAAAAAAATATGATAAAATAAATATATTAAAATATGTATATTTGAAAAGAAATTATAATGGCTATTTTTAAAATTCAAAAAAATTAAAAACCTTTAAAAATAGACTAGAAATAAGAAAAAAATTAATAAGAGTGAAAAGCCTTCACTCTTATTTCTATATATATTATCTAACTAAGAATTATATGACAACATTCTATAGGACCTCTGACATATATTTAATTTAGAAGACATTTGTTTTAACTTGCAAGATAAGTTTTCTATATGTACACTACATGATTAGCTTGTACTACAAGCTTTCAATATGTATGTTACTTGGTTAACTTGTTGAATACTTGTAGTCAAGTGTTCATCCTACCAATCACCTATAAACATGTATAAAGGTGGAACCGCATTTACAAAGTTTCTAAAAATCTTATCTATAAGATATTATCAAATTAATCTATTTTTACATACTTCTATCTATTCATATTATCTAGGTCATAATGAAAATAAATATGTATATTTGTCACATCCAAAACCAATAAATCCTTATGCATTCATTGTGCATTAGTAATAGTCAAAGATATGCCAATAGAACCTATGATATATGCTCAAGCCATAAATTCTTTTGACAACTTTTATTTAAAAATAGAAATTACCAAAGAATTGAATTCTCACATTATCATTTCTTTCTAGACATTCACAAAGTTTCATTCTTATTCTAAGTTAATAACATGCAAGTAGATTTTTAAAATCAAAATGAAAAGCTTATAACAGTAGATTGCTTTAAAGTCTATCTTGTTGCTCATAGATTCAACTAGATCATGAAGCTAGATTATAATAAAACATTATCACCAATAGTTTGGATTTAATTGATTTGACTCATCTTTACTTTTGTTGTTCAACTTAATCTCGATGTGTATCAAATCTCAACTCCAATTTCATCCAATACTTGCTTATTAATTATGGACTATCTCACTATTCTAATAGAATACTAATAAAGTATTACTTTTTTATATGTAAATACTATCAAATCTTTGAATTAAGTTGCAATATATATGACTCAACATTTTTTTTTGCAACTAGTATCTTGATTTAGTACATGCATATTCATGCTTAAAGTCCACTTATATTCATGCCTATAAGCATATTTTTTGCTATCTATATAGAAATCTTGGTTTTTATATAAACCGTGTATCACCAATCTATATATGGTTTTAGTAACATGGATTGTATTGATGAGATCAATGAATATTGCTCAACATCCAAATATATATATATATATATATATATATATATTTATATTTATATACATTTTTTTCTCATAATATTATTAATTGGAGCTCTATTTACTAGCTTTTAATTGCTTTTTTTTAGCCCTAAGACGAAATACATGGCAATAGCTATTACTGCTTCCAAATTGGTTTGTCTATATTATTTACTTGAAGATCTTGAGCAAGATGAAATCCTAAAGCAATCAACCCTAATCCATTATAAGAACCAATCTGCTTTTGTATCATTCTGCATAATCAAATTTTATAATCCAAATATATTGTTATTTGATATTATTTTATATGGCAGTTTGCAAACTTCAACAAAGTTTAATTTTGCTATTGCTCTACAACCATTATGTAAGCAAATATGTTCACAAAATCACTATTTGAATCAAAGCTTGTCGAAAACCTTCTATTGCAAGGTTTGCTTGAAAGAGAAATATCAACCATATCACAGCATGATTAAAAGGGCATATTAAAACATACAACTAATTAATCAACCATGTGATTTAATGATAAAAAAATGATAGAATCATGCATAATCAAGGAATTGTAATTCTTTTGCTTACACCTCTCTTAACTAAATAAACTTTATAAAATCTACTCATTTTTTTGAATTATATAAATATATTAATCTTATTACATATAAGTAATTTTAATACTGATATTCATTGAACTTCTATAAAAAAAATACTTTGTAGTAGGATCTATTAATCTATTCAATTCAAAAAACTAACACTTGACATAGTTAACTACTTTACAATAGTAGAAGTAGATCATATACATGCAAAAGATCACCTTGTATTTTTTTCAATACCTATCACATTGTAAAACCTTACATATTAATGTTTTACCAAGAAAGAGAAAAAGAGAGTCAAAGAAAAAAGATGAGCTTCCAAATCACCTACATCCATTCTTGCTTAATAATTTTTCAAGGCATGAAAAGAATTATAACATCTTATATTGTTATATTTTTATTTTTTTGATAGAAAAATCATATACATTATATCTAAGATTCATTATCATATTATGTTGTATTATATTGTGTGTATATGTGTGTTTTTTTTTTTTTTTTTTTTTTTTTTTTTTTTCCCCCTTTTAAATCTACATAATACAACTTTAAAATTGAAGGACCTTATAATGCTTGTTTAACAATAAATATTTCATTGTTAGATCTAAATTCAATATTTATAGTAGTATTAGGTATATTATATATTACAAAGCTTGCATAATTCAATCAATTCGTAGCTACAAGTATCTACAATTATTGGTTAGTTTTTTAATTTATATTATAATAAATTTAAATAAGATAAAAAAAATTAAATAATATATTAAATTGGTTACAATCTTATAATATATACAATCAATTGCACTTAAAATTATTATGATAATAATTTTTAAAGTGAAAAAAAAATAACAGTAATTTGTATTCAATTTTAAAGTTTTTTTATTATGATACGAAATACATTCTTTGTAATAATTTCAAATTTATTCAAATAAAATATTATAAAAATAAAATTATCTATTATTTTTAGAATAAAAATATTTCTATGTAAGAAAATAGAAATCAAAAACATAGAAAGTTGTAAAATTAAGAATCCAACTTTAACAAAATCATGATGTATTAATTATGCTATCAAACTTCATCTAATTCTATGCTACCTACACATATAAATTTATAGATGAAGCAAAAAAATTTAAATATCTAGTTGTAAATAATCCACTATATTTGAGTTGAATTTTTGCTACCATTTTTTTCTATTTCTTCTTATCTCCAAACAATATCTCTCACATCCTCCATCTTCTAATCGTGCTCCAATAACTCCTTGATTTACCAATGCATAATCAACCCCCGCACATGACAACTCCATTAATGCAAAAATGATTTTTAATAATTCACATATACCAAGTCAATGTATAATAAATTGTTTATATTTTTCCTAGTTTAACACCATTTTCGCTAGGCTTCTAACTTATTTCCAACTACAAAATGTCAAAATTGGTTGACAATAGGTGGTTGGCCTTAAAAATATCCCACCTTATAGGTCAAAAATAGAGGGTGGTCAATAATGGATCAGCTTCCTTACATTAAATCATTATCAAAACTAAGTAATTGATCTATTGCCAACCATCCTTTCATTTCCAACATATAGGGTGTGCTATTTTTTGTAGTTCAATGATTAGGTTTGACAATGATAAAAAAAATTCTATTTCCGTTAACTAGAAATAGGTCGTGGGCTTGTTAAAATAATGTTAAGCTACAAGCAATAAATAAAATTCATTGTATACAAAATGGATTTGTAAAAACTATCAATAGGTATTAATTATTAATTGGTTGGGGTAGAATAATAGTATAGTTAGATGCCGTACATCACAATTTTGTAAAAGTTGGATTCTTAGTTTTGTAATCCACCACTAGTCAAAATTAGGTAGGCCTATACATTGGAAATAGGTTGAAGAGAAACTTTAGCTAAAACATTTATATAATTTTTTTTTTTGGGCCAAATTGTGTGAAAACGTTTGGAATCCTCCTCAGTTCTATTTCTGTACATGTTTTTTTTTTTTTTTTTTTTTTTTTTTTCCATTTTACAGCTGCTGAAATGCTCAAGTGATCGAAAATGGAATCTCTGCCTTCAAACCTGTGTCATGATTGTCAAGAATGGTTGTGTAATGGAAGTAGCAATGGCAGCGGGTTTATCAATTTAATCTTGTGCCTTGTTCTAGCAACGACTTATTGATCTCAATTGAAATTTCACTGAAAGAACACAACATTTGCAGTGCAAAGTGTGCTGTTTTGCTAACTTGAAACCAAAAGCAGATATGATGATTGTGCGAAAAGGAACCTCTAATTCAGAGGCCGATAAGAGAACATAAGCCAATACTATTTCACATTCGCAGTGTGCAATTTCAAATTAGATCTCTGCGAAAAAGTAAAAGACAAGACAAAGTAGGAGCATACTCCAGCAAGAAGCTAAATTGATGAGTTGGAGGTGGCCATGAGCCCAAAATTTCTTAACATTAGGTCATACTGCTTGCTACCAACTTAACATCCTCAGAGACTTCCACAACACAATGATAGTATGCATTATTCACTTCGTCCAGAACCCCAAAGAAAATCAGGATCCAAGATAATTATGTAAATATGTGTATAAAGAATTCGGGAGCAGCAGAAACATGGACATATTCACATATGAAAACGCAAAGAAATTATGTAGTGCTGTGTTCACTCATTTTTCGTGATTTTTGATGTAGAATTAGTCTCTAATAGCACTCTACTGGCAGCACAATCTTTATTGTGGCTGGCATTATTCCCAATGACCTCCATGTTACTCTCACAAGCAGTGAAGCCGAGGTTGACCCAAAGTGTGTCCAATTACGAGAAGGAGGCGGTTGATGCAGGAGTCTTCCGATCAGTTTTGATGAGACCATGAAAGAAGCGACGTTTTTTGGCACGCAGATATTGACCTTCGTCTCTCAGTGAGACATGATGCTCAAACCTCAGCTGTACAAAAATCAAAATTTGAGAACTACACCAGGCACATTGCATGAAAGAGGACACGAACAATTGCAAGGGAGCAACAAAGTTCATGCTGAGGGTACACACACGCACAGAAGTGCGACGCAGCACATCAACTCATTCATTACGAAGAAGAATTGAGATGTAACGGTTAAGCTTAGAATGTCTTGACAGTCACTGCACAACAGTAGTAGGCGTTGCCTAACTCACCTGATCGTTGTTTCTTATCCCAAACCCGGCAAGTCGAGCATCATCGTCCACAAGCTTCTCGGTCCCATGACACAAGCAGAAGTGCCCCCAGACATGTTGCCTGCAATATTATCAAGTAAAGGAACTTTAGAGCTCATGTACCCTAACCTAATGCTTGACAATAACACCATTTTCATCTTTTCTGCTTTTATGAGTCTGGAAGTTCGAATTTGGGGGTGGATTTTCAGGGCGAAAACATCTCAGCATGCAGCATGCAGCACGCGAACAGGAATCGATGGAATGTGATGTACCCACCATGAAATGCGTTTGTGACCAAGCTCTGATTGTTCCAAGTGGTCGACATACTTCACGACAGCTTGCTTCAGGTCCCTGACCCTAGAATTGGTGAGCACTACTACGTCTGGAGGGCAAATCGAGTTCAGAAATATCATGAACCAAAATAATATACACAGTGCTTCTGATTGTACTAAAACAATGCAGTGATTTAAAATAAAAACCTCAAGATATGCAAGTGGGTGTTAATAGAAAATGAAAGAAATGCAAGGAACACAATCCCAGCCAATGGCGGCTCTACTACGTCAACTGTACTGCTCGTATCATTGCATGCGGCTCCCCAGGCTACAATAAAAGTAGATACAATATGAAGGGAAAGGACGGCAACTCTGAAGTTGGGGGAATAATCGACGGTATATACAAAGCCATAGACCTGGTTGCATGTAGGGAATTAACATAATGAACTCGCCTGAACAGGAACGACAGAACCCCACAGCCACATACCAAAATGACTGCCATCCAACTTGAGAATGGATAATTTCATTGAAGTGCCGAGCTCCACTCCGATCAAGGAGTCAACCTTCGCCACTGTTCCGGCAGTGCCAACTGGATCTTCCCGAAACGAGGACACCAGAGGCTTAAACTGGCTCCTCTTGAAGTAAGTCCCCATGTCTCCTCTTCTGACACCCAGCATCATGATGCCTGCAAAATCGCTGCAAATCTCCACTTGAAAAGCGACAAAAAACACTATCGACAGCGGCACAAGGATTCTCGAACTTCTTCACGTCGCAGAACCCATCGCCATGAACGTCCCCAACAATATATCCCCTTCTCCACCACGTCCTGGTCCTCAAATTCTCAGACCTTAAAAAAACCGAATATCCATCACTTCGGCTTCCATCAATCAAAACAGCGGGACCTCAACTGCTCTTAGTGAATGAAAAGCAAAATCCAGCTCCAGGGAAGCACGAATTCAGATTCTAAACCCGAGCCAAGGCTTCCGAAATTGCAATTCCTGACGGAATCCAACAAAACCAGGGGCAAGACCACCGATGAAGACAGACGCTACAAACAAACACGACGGGCCATGAGGAGGAGGACCCGAGCCTTCCTTTCTTCCTTCCTTCCTTTTGCAGCGACGTGGAGGAGGATTCGCAGGAAATTTCTGGACGAATTGTCAGTGAGATGGATGAGGTGCGGCGATCGTATCTTGATCCACACGGGAACTGGTCTCCCCGAAAAATAAATAAATAAATAAAACAAAATAAAATAAACAGTGCCCAGTTTCGGGCTGCGCTGAGTCGGGCTGGGCGGCATTCTTAGAAGGGACCGTTAAGGGGGCCTACAAACGCCGCCCGCGCCGGTGGTCGTGACCGTTGAGGGTAGTTATAAATAGCCTCGACCTCGTTATCGTCACGTCTGATGCTGTCTCACTTGCCACATTTAGAAACGCTCTCGAGCAAACCAGGTTTCATTAATATCACTATAACGTTCTTTTAGCTCTTCTAAAATTCACAATGGCATTCACTGTGAGCACGGTGACATTACAGATGTAGTGTTCATTATTGTGAGGTTTGGTGATGAAATTGCAAGTTGTAATTTTCGACTGTAAATTATTTGTTTTTGATTAATTGAATGATTATCTTTTGTGGCGTGCGTTCTTTTTAAACTGTCTTGTTGTAGGAATAGGATGTGGGCTTTTAGGTTGTATTAAATAGAAGAAATAACCATCTAATTTTACAAACAAAAGTTCTTTTGTAATTTTAGCGATATTATATAACTGTCGTTCTAATATACCTCAATATTCATCACAACGGTTACCGGTATAACAACTGGTTTTAACACATCGTGTCATTGGGTAAGAAAGCGGAAACTACCCTTAAGAAAATTAGATGTTTTTGCAGAAGCTACAGTAACAAATAATTTAGTAACTTAGATTTTGAAATTGAGTTTCTGCAATACAAAACACTATGAGTTGGATATTTGACAGAATCAAAGATGCTAAACAAGAAAGGTTATATTACTCTAGTTTAAACCAGTCTCCAAGTTTTGATTTGGGAGACTGTATCTTCCTAACTTTTATTACATGTTTATTTGATTTCTTCAGTGTACTTTATTATTTTTAAATTAGGAACTGAATGGTCGATCACAGTTTCAATTAAGCTTATTTTTATTACATCCGATTTTATCTGTTGTAATGGAAGTTAATATTTAGGTCGACTGACGGTGGGGTTTCTTTAATTCTTGCATTCATAATAATGCAGTGCTTTACCATTTCCTACTTCGTATGTGGTGCTGAGATATGCAGAACTAATGGCGCTTTTCCTCGTGAGGACATACATCAACACTCCCCACCTTCTGTGTAGATATCGTCACGGGCCAGTGCGACAGTGCTTCCTCTTAAGCAGAGAAGACTGCTGCAGGTTCAGATTTAAGGTATCCTTGTCACTGGCGACTCATTAGTCTCAGAAGGAAGGCAGTTCGGTCCTAAGCAATCATAGCGATTAACTCACGCAACTTAGTTGCAGGAACCTTCTTCATCACGGATCATGCCACCCACAGCACACTGACCCTCGGGAAAAAGTCTCAGGATCCAATGAATCAACATGTGGCGTTGCCACTCAGTTATATGCTTGTCAATGTTTCATCATCACCGACCCTTCCCAACACCTAGACATACAACCTACGAGACCGTGCAACCAACTGAAAAATCTGTAATACTGTAGCAGTTCTTAATTCGTATCGGGCTCAGATGAAATCGCCCAAACGACTCAACGAACTCTGCATCTCTCTTTGCATCTGGTAATCAGTAGCGCCCCTTGCCAAAACCGCAGGGGGCTGATTACGATGCATGCTCCCACCTTCCACATCACCGTTATCCTAACACTTTCTTTATCATTTAGTGCCGTAGTTTAACATGACTTCCCACCGATACGAGAAACCAGCTGATATCAACACGTACTATGTTTGTGAAGAGCAACAGTAAAAGCACCCATGGGAGCGAATGCTTTCAGTTAAGTTTCTTCACAGCCATATGACATGGTACAGTTCCGAACGCAAAGAGGGGCTCACCTCGTTCAAAAGTTAACCCATAAGAGACCAAATATACAAGATAAACCCTAAAAACTGACAGAAAACCCTATCAATGGAAAACACATCTGCCGCCAAACAAACGAGAAGATTACCGTCAGACACTCGGGGCAAACTTCAAAAACACGACACCTCCGCAGGATTGGTAAATAGTTCGGCACAACAAGCAATGCACTTAGCTAAGAACTCTCCCGTACGAGACTATGTGTACCAACATCACGACAACGCAAGACGCTAAATAGTAGAGTCACCTACGCCGCAGCGGAGGAAGACGAGAAAGAAAGAACCTGATGTGGAGGGGCAAGTATTTGTTGCTGCGACTCTGAGAGCCATTAGGGTTTCAGAGCGCAGCTCACACAGAGCAACGTACGCGGTATAGGGTTTGGTACGTGACCAGAAATACTCAACGTTCTAGAACGTCACATACATCCATGGATGAACAGAAAACCAGCTCCGGTCCCCTTCTCTCGGTCATTCTAATTCCATCCAGGCATTGCCATGGATGAACGGAAAACCAGCTCCGGTCCCCTTCTCTCGGTCATTCTAATTCCATCCAGGCATTGCCATGGATGAACGGAAAACCAGCTCCGGTCCCCTTCTCTCGGTCATTCTAATTCCATCCAGGCATTGCCATGGATGAACGTGGCTGTACATCTCGTCGGCGTTTACTTGGATGAATGCCGTTAATATTATGCACAAAACCTAATAGAATGTTTATTTTGGGACATATATTATTTTATAGGATGTAAATTTCCACTTTTATAAATCCTTCGAGCTTAAATGAACTCACTTTGCCATCCCAATGATCTTAATCCAGATTTATTTGAATAAGCTGAAATGATAACTGATTGATATGCAATGCAATTTAACGTGCTTGTGATGACATCAAATATACAATTTATTGTTAAATGCATTACCAAAGCAAAGCACTATAAAAATTTAAAGAAATTAATTTCATTTAAAAATAATTATATTTCATTACATTTATACATACAAACAACTATTTTTGACTAATCATTCTCGAAGCTAAAGTAAATTGTAAACAAAATTGATGCATTTCAAGAATCTTTTACCTCATTTTCTTTTGTATCACAAATTTTTTTGATTATAAATACATATATATATATATATATATATTTATAAATGGTTAAATATAAATTAATAAATCTTAAAAATGTATTCATTCTTAATTTATTTTATTTTTTAAAAATAATACCATAAAAGACATTGTAATGACAGAAATATCATTTATATTATAAACACCCAAAACGACTTATTATTTAATACTTTTACATGATAAAATATAATTCATAAATCTAATTATCAATTTTTTCTTTTAAGATATATTTTTATGTTTGTAAATATTAAATTTTGTATAAAAAAATGTAAATTTTTATATAATCTTATTCTTAATATGTAAAAACTGAAAGATCCAACTAATAAACGAAAGCAAATTTGATCTGATTTATTTTTATATCCAACATTTTAAACTTCTTTTTGCTAATATTTGCTCATTATATATACAAAATTAGTAGTTGCAGTATCATTTCTTATATATATCTTTATATATATATATATATATATATATAATATTATAACACCAAAATACTTATAGAAAGAATGATAATAATGATAATAATAATGAACATTTGTAACTAAAATATGGTATAATTTACTTACTAAAATTGAATATATTATAATAATATTAAAACTATAATTTAGAAAACTAAAAATGAATACAACTAGTAATTGAATATATAAAAAAAATTAGTATTTTTAATTGAAAAATTTCTGATATAAAGCTATGAAAGAAATCATAATAATACACAAGTATTTTTTAATTTTTTAATTTAATTATTTTTAGTTTATTTTAATAATTTTGGTTATAAGTAATACAATATTGTCTATTAGTTTTATATTTTCTATCATTTTTTTATATTTATTGATTTTAAAAAATGAATTAAAAAAATGACAATGAACTTAGAAATACCAAAAAAAGTATTTTTATACATATTTGATTTTGATTATTTCATAATACTACCTGTCAAGGACATGAACTAGAAGAGGATGCATAAACTTGAAAAATCTATGTCAAAATAAAAGTGACAAAATAAAAATTAAGTAGTACGTATATTAAAAGAAAATTAGAATGGCTATTGTCAAATGACAAAGAAACTAGAGACTCTTAAATCTACACTAAAAGTAAGAAAAAGAGTTGACAAGAATGAAGAAGGCTTCATTCTTGCCTCTATATTTACTATTTAACTAGGAGCTACATGACAATGTTCTATAGGACCTCTAATATGTGTTGCCTTAGCAGGACACATGCTTTAACTTACAAGGCAAGTTTTTTACATGTGGGCAACATAGTTAGCTTGTTCTTCAAGCTACCAACATGTGTGGCACATGGCCAACTTATTGATCATGTTTCTAATCTAAAAAGTAAATTAAAGACACGTATATTGTCAAAGTAGCATTTATGAATCCTCTAAGAAGCTTATATAAAAGATATTATCGAATTGACTTACTTTTATCTACTATTATCTAAATCATATAAGTAATTATTGGTTAACATGTGTATGTCCATGTGTCAAGGACAAGAACTCGATGAAAAAACAGTTCAGACAAGTAAGCCTTCACTCAAAGAAAAGTAACAAAATATGAATAATAAGTATGTATATTGAAAAGAGAAACTAGAATGGCTATTGCCAAAAGACAAGAAAACTAGAGACCCTTGAAACTAGACTAGAAGCAAGAAAGGAGTTGACAAGAGTGAAGAAGCCTTCACTCTTGTCTCTATATATACTATCTAACTAGGGGCTACGTGGCGACGTTCTATAGGACCTCCAATATGTGTTGACTTTGTAGGACACATGCCTTGACTTACAAGGCAAGTTTTTCTACGTGTGGGCCACATAGTTAGCTTGATCTTCAAGCTAACAACATGTGTGGCACATGGCCAACTTGTTGACCACGTTTCTAATCCAAAAAGTCAATTAAAGACACCTATGAAGTCAAAGCAACGTCTAGGAAGTTTCTAGGAAGCTTCTATATTAAATATTATAGAATTAACTTACTTTTATCTACTTTTACTTACTTCTACCTATTCCTATATGTAATTATTAGCTTACATGATTATGGCCGTGACATTACCCCCCCTTCTAGAGACGAGTTCCACGAGGAGCGATCATCATATGTTGAAGAAATCTATGATGCGGCGAATTGTATTCGCCACATATTCTGATCTCTGTTCTCTTCGAAGATGATTGATAGGGCCTCTCAACCATCGGTAGTATCCCATACTAGGGCGGGAAGACCACCCAGTTATTTGATCATTGTTGAGGCCTTCGTAACTTCCTTCGGATAGAATATTTGGAACACCATCTG